GATTCTCTTACGGCCCCCAGCGTACCGTCATAGACAATAGAACACTAGTCCCATAACAAAGTTGGGTCGGAGAGATGCATCTATGCGTGAAAACTGTGGGAAACCGTGTCGTATTCAACTAACTTTTTTGAAGAACACATACGATTTTCAGGTAAATTGGTGGTGTCATATGACGAAGGGAGAATCATAGATGAAAACAAGGTAAAGTTTGAATATATTTATTCACATATTGATAGATTATTTACCAGTTGAAAACTATGCAAAACGCTGTTAAAACCGTGACATACTCTTCTCTATTATCCACTCTTGTTATTATGTAGTTATAGCTTTGAACGTCAGACATGGTTTTAGTCATTGACATGGTAAATTGGCGATTATTTCTGCGCGAGTGACACAAACAAAAGGCAGGTCACGCTGAGACACCTGTTAGGGGGTTTGGCAGGGATTTTGCAAATTTGTTTCGAGCAAGTCATACTCCTCTATTATTATTCACTCCTGATGTTATATGTACAGCACATTATACAGAATATTACACATGTAGCATATCGTCACTACAGCAGATGATACAAACAGCATTCTTTGCCAGTTTTTTTCCCGAGGCACAACGGGTTGTTGTCTATATTAGGGAAATCGTGAAAATTAGATATTTGATCACTTCAATAACAATAACATGTTGGCAAACATGCTTTCCTATTTGGGGACACGTTAGCAATGGTGTCGGTGCATGAAAAGTGTTATTGTTAGGCTTTAACAACGATAACAGTTGTGCCTTTCCCGCATGAAAAAGATTAAGGAATGAGTGGGTGGGTATAGGTTGGTGGTAGTGCCAGTGGGGGCACCTGAAAGATGTGAGATACCCCTAAAATGTATAATTGCGAAATGAGGCACATCGTGATTTACAGCGGCTACAAGTATTAGGTTAATAACTATATACATAGTTGTGCAAGCAAAATAATCCACCTGGAATGATTTACAGGTAAGCCAATCATTGTCGTGGTAGGACATTCTAAAAAAATAATACGTAGCAACAAAGTGCTGCAAAGTCAATAATAAGGCATGCGTACATGAAAAACACATAACTGGCATAGGGTTACTGATGTATTAACAGTATTCAACGTGGAAGGACTTGCTTCACTCGGTGGAGTGACTGACGATCAGTATGTTTGTCGAGGGTATAGGTAATAAGAGGCTGGTGCGCAATGCACTGGACAAGCTGGAGGGGTTGGAGCGGCTGAGCTCACGTGCGATCAGACAGTCACAGTCGCTGCAGGACGAACTAGCGACTGCTCTCGGAGCATCGATCACGGCCGTCGACGTCGCCGAGAACGTCATCAACCAAACGACGAGCGAAAACAGGGTGAGTGTACGCTGCTGCCACCTGACGGGTGGTGCGCAAACAAGATTGCCATTTCCACGAATTCTATAGCCTCTGTGGTAAGTGCTTGTTTAACACATTAGGGCCCCAATCCCTCACAAGGTTATGTACGTTACAGTAACCGGCTTGAGTGAGTAAATCTCTGAAAGGTATGCCTTCATCCTATATCCTACATTACCTATCTATCATCCCTCTCTCTCTCTCTCTCTCTCTATTATCTCGCTCTCTCTCTCTCTCTCTCTCTCTCTCTCTCTCTCTCTCTTTCTATCTCTCTCTCTGTCTCTCTCTCTCTCTCTCTTTCTATTTTTTCTCTCTCTAGTATAAAACAACGATTAAGAGTTCCGTCGCGTATATTTATTGCCGAGTCACCAAATCTTGGACCGCATCTCCCGCACCCGCATCGCCGCATCGGCTGGAATCTGAACTCACGATCACCGTTAACGTCCTCGGTATGTCTGTCTGTCTGCTTTGTTCCACCGCACACACACGCACACATGCACGCGCACGCACACATGCCCGCACACATGCACACA